GACAGGGTCTTGCTGTTTAGCCCAGGCTACAGTGCAGTGGTATGATCATGGCTCACTGCAGCCTCAACTTCCCAGGCTCAGTGACCCTCCCATCTTAGCCTCTAGAGTAGCTAGGACTACAGTCGTGTGCCACCATACCCTGCAATATTCACTCACTCACAGATGGAGCCTCACTATATTGCCAAGACTGGTCTCAAACTCCTGGGCTCAAGCAATCCTTCTGCCAAATTGCGGGCTTGGCCCTCTTCCAAGTTGAATCCTCTCCCCCTCCCCCTTCTCCTTTTCTGCTCCAAAGCTTTTTAATAAATGCTCACTTCTGCTCTGGAACTTGCCTAGGTCTCTCCTTCTGCCTTATGCCCCTCAGAATTCTTCTGAGGCAAGAACTGAGGCTGCTGTAGACCCATATGGATTTGCCACCGGTAACTTGGGTAACTCGGATATCTGCCACTGCTAACATATTTGGTCCACATGACTCAGATACCTTCCTAGTGGCCACTGAGCTCCAGACAATCCTCAGTGAGGAAAACCGTACTCTCAATATTCAAGAGTCACCCTTCTAGAGGGGACCTCTGCACTGCCCATCGGTGGGACAAGACAGTGGTGAAATCCTGGCCATGTCTCCCTTGGACCCAGCTGGATACCACTTTCATCAACTGATGCAGCCAACTCAGCCCTGCCGGGTAGAAATGAGCCAAGATCCACCGAACCACAACCACCCCCTCTGTCAGCAGAAAGAAGTTACAGAAGACAGACCTCCATCCATTTTGCCCCAAAGATTGAGGTTCTGGACTCTTGAGGTGAGTAATGTTACAGCAGGTAGCTAGTCATGTATGAACAGGGCAAGAGAGGCCCCCTCCCAACATACACCGGGAGTGTTGGGCAACAATCAGCTGATGGTCAGGTGGTTGTTAACAAGCAGAGAGCAAGGAGCCTCAATTTTTTTTTTCTAGGTGCTAGTCCCTAATGAAATCAGAGCAGAACAAAACTACTGAAAATAAGGAAAAAATAAAAAAATTCAGAACCTCAGCACCCTTCCATGAACATGTACGTTTTTCACAAAACTATATTTAAAAGTCTAGCTATCCACCGAGTATGGTGGCTTATCCCTGTAATCCCAGCACTTTGAAAGTTTGACTTTTCTTTCCCAGAACAGAAGTAAGAGTTGATTAACAAAGCTTTAGAACAGCAAGGAAAAGGAAGGAGAAAGAAAAGAGAAGTTCACCTTGAGAGACAGCAAAACAGGCACCTTCAGAAAGCAAGTGCGCAGCTTGTCTTCTGTGACTTCGGGTTTTATACGTTGGTATACTTCCGGGATCTTGCAGGACTTCTGCCTACTCCTGAAATCTTATTGGAAGCTGCTGATCAATTTCAGGTGTTTTCTATCCATGAAGAGCGTGCCTTTCCCTGGTGCTGGCTGTGACCAATTGTTACTCCTCCTGAAATCTTATTGGGAAGCTGCTGATCGGTTTCAAGTGTTTTCTATCCATTAAGAGCGTGCCTTTCCCTGGTGCTGGCTGTGACCAATTATTACTCCTGAACTCTTATTGGAAGCTGCTGATCAGTTTCAGGTGTTTTCTATCCATGAAGCGCGTGCCTTTCCCTGATGCTGGCTGTGACCAATTGTTACTCCTGAAATCTTATTGAAAGCTAAAGTAATAATTAGTCACAGCCGGCCCCAGGGAAAGGCACCCTCTTAATAGGTAGAAAACATCTGAAACTGATCAGCAGCTTCCCAATAAGATTTCAGGAGGAGTAACAATTGGTCACAGCCAGCACCAGGGAAAGGCACACTCTTCATGTTATTGTCACAGCCCATGCATTCGTTATAATTTTCTTCATAGTTATACGGATCATAATTGGAGGCTTCGGAAATTGATGAGTCCCTCTGATAATTGGTGCTCCTGACATAGCATTCCCTCGCCTAAATAACATAAACTTCTGACTCCTTCCCCCCTGCTTTCTACTACTAGCATCCGCCATAGTAGAAGCCGGCGCTGGGACAGGCGGAACAGTGTACCCCGCTTTAGCAGGGAATTTCTCCCACCCAGGAGGCTCCGTAGACCTAACTATCTTCTCGCTTCACCTAGCAGGCATCTCCTCTATTTTAGGAGCTATCAATGTCATCACCACTATCATTAACATAAAACCTCCCGCAATATCTCAGTATCAAACCCCCTATTACTTTAGCTTTCAATAAGATTTAAGGAATAACAACTGGTCACAGCCAGCACCAGGGAAAGGCACGCTCTTCATGGATAGAAAACACTTGAAACTGATCAGCAGCTTCCCAATAAGATTTCAGGAGGAGTAAAATTGGCCACAGCCAGCACCAGGGAAAGGCACGCTCTTCATGGATAGAAAACACCTGAAATTGATCAGCAGCTTCCAATAAGATTTCAGGAGTAGGCAGAAGCAAGATCCCGGAAGTATACCAACGTATAAAACCCGAAGTCACAGAAGACAAGCTGCGCACTTGCTTTCTGAAGGCGCCTGTTTTGCTGTCTCTCAAGGTGAACTTCTCTTTTCTTTCCCTTCCTTTTCCTTGCTGTTCTAAAGCTTTGTTAATCAACTCTTCTGTTCTGGGAAAGAAAAGTCAAACTTTCAAAGTGCTGGGACTACAGGGATAAGCCACCATACTCGGTGGATAGCTAGACTTTTAAATATAGTTTTGTGAAAAACGTACATGTTCATGGAAGAGTGCTGAGGTTCTGAATTTCTCTTTTTATTTTTTCCTTATTTTCAGTAGTTTTATTCTACTCTGATTCCATTAGGGATTAGCACCTAGCAAAAAAAAAAAAAAAAAATTGAGGCTCCTTGCTCTCTGCTTGTTTTGACTATCACAACATAACAAAAGAATAAAATGACCATTATCAAAGCATAACTTTTTATCCATCTGTTATGTGCCTGCCTGTCAATCAATCATCTATCCCCTTATCTAGATACTTAAATTTTTATATAATAGGGAGACGTATACAGGGTGGTAAAATGTATTCTGAGAAGCGCACAGTACAGAAAGTAAACCCACAGTATAGTGAAACGTAATTTCCGTTGAATATATTTTATAAACATTTGACTTAAGTAGTCAATGCATATTCTGTAAAAACTACAATCGCCACCAACTAACCAGAGAAGCATGAAATAGAGATTAAGTAAACTAACTGAAAAGGCAGGTCAAGCCCTTGACTTTGCTGGAAGTTAATATGGGTGAGATAAAAGTATTTCAGTTACTACATCTATGCTACATATAAATCAACATCTTCAAGAAGTCTCTGGCAATGTTTTACGATATTCCAGTGCATTCTAATTTTTTATCGGATGCATAAGAAATGATTGCAGAAATTGTGTGTCAGTCTAAATCTTAGCTCTGTCTTCAGAAAACGTTTCCTTCATACTACCATGAAAGCAATAGTTTTTTTTTTTTCTGGAATTATAGGCCCAAACCCCTTGACAAAAACTAGTTGTCCATTACACTACTTCTGACCTATTTCCACATTTTTTGTATTAAGAGCATTAATATCTCACTTTTTGCTTAGAAATTTGATTTAAACATTTTATAACTTTCAAGCAAATATCAATATTTACACGTATGTTTAAATAAAAACCTTATTACAAGCATATCTTCGAATTATTTTTCATCACAGAAATGGGCAAGGTTAATTTTGCATGATCATGACTCGGGCAGTTTGTGTGTGGCTGCTGGCATCTGAAGAGGGAAATAAAAGCATGAGACGTTTTTCTTCTGATTCTTGAAATTACCAAACCGGTCCCCACTCCTCGGCTTTTCTCAACCCTCTAATCCTTATTCTATTAAATATTTCTGTACACAAATAACGAAGATACTGTTAAATACAGGCAGTCAAGTTGGCCCATAAGAGTCCCTTTAAAATATAACATGTAATTGCCTTCAGTAAGTGACTAAAAGCATTCCAACTGCTTTGCCTTGTAGAACATATATTTAACTGTTAATTTCCATGATAGAACTCCGTTAGTTTGGAAACCCTGGCAAGCAAATATTGCTCTAAGAAGATATTCGCTTGCAACAAATAATTTTTGTCAAAACTTACAGCATAAATAGTGAGCAAAAGCTAACGTGTGAAAACAAAGTCTGAATGCCTACCCAGAGGGTTAAAATTGGTCATTCTTTCCCTAGATATTTATTGGATGCTTATTACATTCAAGCCTATGGTGCTCAGTAAATGTTGGATGAGTAAATGCTCTCGGCTGTGTGGGTTTCAGCATTATTTTCTTAGTTTCTTGCTTCCTCTAGTGTTGGCCAGCTGTTAGTTGCTTGTAGTCAATCAAATATTTTATTTGAAGGGTAAGATGATTCAGTTTAAAACAAAAGGGAAGGAACGGGAAGACAACTGCCAGAGCTGGGTTGTCGGCTGCTGTTAGAAATCTGCTAGCTATTAATTTGATTCATCTGGCAAGCTATTCCTATGCTAGTTAACTGAGCATTTATCATTAGAAAAACTACAAAGGCAAAGTATCTACATGTGGCCCCTTCTACCCTACATCCTCTCCAAATGGTTTCTGTATTGAGGCTTTGACTAAACTTTAAAAGACTTTCATGGGTAGGTTTATGTACCAGTTTATGGCAGAGCCTTAAAGCCTGGAGCCAGCCTCCTGAACTGATACTGAATCCTTTCAAGGAAAAAGATGCGAAAAAAGATCCTTCATAAAACACAGCATGAAGCAGACCTCCACATTAGCTTTTAGTTTCTGATAATGTGCTCGGTATAATGTTTTAGTCAAGTTCTTGTGCCAAATTGGGTCCTTAGCCCTCACAGTAATTTTTGGATTTTTTTTTTACCATGAGTGTAGGAAATGATAGCTTTTTAAAAGCCACTGTAAATCTCGGCTCCCACTGCTGCCAGTGACAGCTGATAAAGGGGAATGGGAGGAAAAGCAAGCAATGCAAATACAAAGCAATTTGCATGAGTCAGTCCACCTGGAGGAAGCTAATGGAGGTGCTGCTTTCCTACTTTAAGGTGACTTGCCTTGCAAACTGTAGATCTCACCAACGCTGTTCTGACGAGTGATGTGATGCCAGTATGCGCTGCGAGGAAGAGAGATTGATTTGGATAATGTCATTGGTTCAGTCAAGCTTGTCTGAAGCTAAAAGAGAAAAGAAAATGTGTTTTAGGCCTTGTTGAAAACTGAAATCTGCTCTTCTAAATGTTCAGGGTTAAATAAGTGATAGAATCTGCTTGTAGATACCTACACGATCCCCTGTGTAAGGATAACTTTTTAAAGTAAAATCATTACTCAAAAATGTGAAAGGAATACTTGTAAACAGTTCAATCTAACTCATTAAGAGAACACTAAGATGGTACGAATGATTCCAATGACTTGTAGCAATGGGGAATGCTGGTAAACACTCAGGGCATGATCAATTGTAGTCACTCCACCCAACAGTTACTTAAATTTTCTATGGACAAGAATTATTTGCATTACTCTCGGCTTTCTACAATTTACGGAGTTGTAAAATAACTCAAAGGTGCCAGCCCCTTCAGAAGCAGAGACCCATGAAAGGTTTACAGAATACCCATTTTTTACCCATTTCAATCTCTCAAAATTTTTCCTTACATGTCCTCCCAACCTTACACAATGGATATTTTCTCAAATCGACCTTTTTCCTTGCTCCTGTAATAGAATCTTGTACATGTTAAAAAGGTATTCTCTGAGAAACACTGATAAAATTGTGGCATGTTTATTCGAAATATTTTAAGGATAGCTGAGAAGATTCACACAATATCACATACTCAGCTACGTGACTAGTTCAAAGAAAATAAGTTTACATTGCGTTTTCAAGAAATAGCTTTATTTTTATTAATGCACAAGTTTCAAGAAACATGCAGAAATGGTTTTATTTAGTCTTGGCACACATGTCTGACCCAATCTGAGGAAATGTTTACTTTTAACAATGAGTAATCCTCTAACAAAATCTCATTTTCTCTTTGATCCCTGACTCCTGGCAAAACAGAGTTGCAAAGATGATCTGTCAAATCTAGGCTTTGCGTGCCTTGCTGCTACTGTGGTGTGTCCACGGTGCTCCTGCACAGTCCCTGTCCGGCCCTTGATGCTTGGATGGATCATACTTCTACATCCAGCATTGGATTTGACTCTTGCCACACTTCATTAGAAGATGCTATTAGGAAAGTACCCGATATGACACAACAGGTCGTTCAAGGCCACATAAAACTAAGGTTCTTACATTTTAATAGAAAGTGGAATTAAAGAGCTTGCACATATTTCCTTTTACTTAGTGGTAAGACATTTCTGAAGCTGCTACGTCTTGTCACAAAAGTGCCATACTCAGTCTATTTAAAAGTCTGGCACTGTTGAGGTATCTTTTTTTTGAAGATGGCTCCAAATGGTAACTTTGCAGCCATTCTTTGTTTTTTCAAAATTTGGTAGACTTCAAAGTTTTCCTGCTTATTACATAAACAGGTGAACTATCCACATCCACATCCTGTGGTTGGTGTGTATAGGGGTGGGGTTCTACGGAGACAAGCTTCTGGGTTATCACAGAGCAGTGCTTTCAGAATCTTTTGGGTGGTTTGGTAACAATAATAATGGCAGACAGCCAAATACCTAGGCAGATAAGAAAGTGTCCCCGGAGAACCTCGGACCCAGCCAGGTCATTGTATGTACATAGGGGACTTGTCTAAACATGCCCACGGTAAAAAAAAAAAAAAAAAAATTGTCCCTTAACACATGTGCAGTAAAGGAAATGAACGAACGTAGGGTGGCTCAGACTATAAGGGCCCACGTGCACACTGGAAAAAATGGGATGGAGATACCAGGAATTAACACCTTATGCAGGGGAGGAGCCGCCTGGCCCCTTCAGCTCCTGTGCGGTGGCCTGGTGCTCAATCTGAGGTGGGAGCTCGCTGGCGGGACAGCTCTTTGCTGAGAGCTCCCCTTTTGCTTAAATTCCACTTTCCTCACCCTTCAGTGTGTTTGCATGCCTTACTTTTTCCTGGTTGTGAGACAAGAACCTGGATTTAGCTTGAACCTAAGGAACAACAAAAAAACCGTGCATCAACAATGGGCGTTTCCAGTTTTACCCTGAACCTAACAGTGGGAGAGAGGGGGGACTCTGCAAGTAGGGCTGTACACATTGAAAACATGCATTACACCCTCATGGATGGAAGTCCACCACCACAAAGAACTAGAGGCAAGGCTCATTTTATGAAAGCATTATTGGGAGAAAAGATAGGACTTTTGTCTTTAAAGCCAATTTCCCATATGAGGCATAAACTTAATTACACACATAAATCTTCAATTCATGTCAGCAATGCCCATTAATAACAATCCATAGATTCAGTCTCATACTAATCACGGTTCTGTCTGTCTACTCTTCCTTTTTCTAATATAATTTGTTTATTACTCAGCATACAGTAGATCATTGGTAAATTAATCTTTCCAAAATGTGATTGAAAGTGCTTTTTCTATTATTCTGGGAGACATTTTTCTTCCCAAATGGTCAGTTTTTAAGCATCAGGAAAATACAGTTAGCATTTTTGTTTGCTGGAAATACAGTTGGAAGCCACTGGATAATTCTTCCACATGATTTCCTTCTGAATCTCCCTGTATTGTTTTACACCTCAAGTTTCTCTACTTTTCTCTTCATTTTCATGTTCTAGGATGCTTTTAATGATATTCTATTTATTCCTTAGGTTTCTCTCTATTCTACTTCCATAACTTATTGCTGAAAAATGGAAAATTTATGTTCAAAATTGATTATGGATTTTCTTGATCTTTGCTAGGGATACAGATCTAGTCTCCCATTTCTCAATGTCTAGATGTTCCCCTGAATTTCAGAATAGAGTCCATTCCCCATGTGTACCTTTTGTATTGAGTACTGCTATAGACTGAACTGTTTCCGCACAAATTCATATGTTAAAGCACTAACCCCCAAATGACTATATTTGAAGATAAGGCTTTTAAAGAGGTTAATGAAGGTTAAAGGAGGACATAAGGGTGGGGACCATAATCAAATAGGACTTGTGCCCTTAGATGAAGAGGAAGAGACCCAGGGATAAATATTCGGAGAAAAGGCCATTAAGGACACAGCAAGGAAGCACCCATCTAAAAGTTGAGAAGGCCTCAGGAGAAACTAACCCTGCAGGCATCTTGGTTTGGTGTTTTTTTTGTTTGTTTTTTTTTTTTTTTCACTTCCAGCCTCCAGAACTGTGAGAATTTCTGCTGTTCAACCTATCCAGTTTGTGGTATTTTGTTATAGCAAGCTGAGCAAATTAATGAGTACTGTCATGGGGAATCTAAGTGGTATAGAATCTGTCTGATTTAACCAGCAATTTTTAATTTTATGAACTTTAAGCAATGTATTACAAATTGACCTGTTTGATTTGTGCAATGACTAAGACAGTATTTCAAGCACACTTGATGAAATTTTTTTTTTTTTTTCCCAGAGAGCGTCTCACTCTGTTGCCCAGGCTGGAGTGTGGTGCAATCTTGGCTCACTGCAACCTCTGCCTCCCAAGCTCAAGCAATTCTGCCACCTCAGCCTCGCGAGTAGCCTGGATTACAGGTGTAAAACTTCTTTTGATGACAGGCTTCAACAAGAGGACACACTTCCTTAACTACTCAATTAAAACTCATCCTTAACTATTTTCATATTATAATGCTTCAATTAAAAGCATTAAGAAAAAGCTTAAAATGCTATAGTAATTTCTTAATTGAAAAAGCAATGCATCAATTTGACCAGGAGGAGTTTTAGGATCATAAAAGCATGTATATTAAAAAGCAATTTGTATTTATATTGCAAATATTTATAAAACATTGAGATTTCTAAACAATGTATTTTAAGAAATTAAACAAGATGGATACATGTGTTCGAAGTTTTCATTCCTTCTCTGCAAGGGTCTGCTGTATTGATTTTTTTTTTTTTTTTTTGTGGACTTAGTTTAAAAAAAAATCTCAGCTATACAAAAATCTGCAATCTTTATGCCAGAATTCCCTTGGTATTTATAAGACTATTTCCTGCAGGCGATGCTTCTCCTTTTTTGCATAGGGTCGGGATTTAGAAAGAATGCTCTAGCATATATGCAAAAATCAACTAGACTAGGAAGCATTTAGTTCTTGATACACTTGCCATCACTTTTTGCCATTTTTCGCTCTAACTCTGTCTTGCTTCTATTCTTGTGAAACAGCAGTCAGTTTTCTAGCATATGAGCAATGAATCGGGAGTTATTTAGCATCTGGAAAGAGGGTAGAGATCACAGCTAAAGTAAGCCTGGAGAGCAGTTCAAACACTTGTGCTTTGAGAGGGACAACTGACACATCTCATCACAAAGCCAACAGTCTAAGAAAATACTTTAGCCCCAAAGTGTGCCATATGGAGACTGCATTTTGATACCCTTGTTCGAATATAACACAGATGAGAATTATGCTGTCCTCAAGGTGATGAGAAAAGACCCTTCTCCCCAACCAGAAAAGTTTAGATTTAGACGGCTCTCGGAAAGATGGAAACAAGAGTGGGTTCTTTGTGGGTTTCCCATTTAGGCAATACATAAATACACTTTGATATCATCTACGAATCTCACTTATAAATAAGATTCCAACTCTCATGTCTCTCCTCCCCTAAACTTTGGAAGATTCTTTTGAACACATTTCATTGGAAAAAGTCATTTTTAGGAAACAATTCTTCCTGTGTCACTCTGGCTTTGCACTTCTGTTACTATATTTTCAACTATGTTTGTACAGCAAACAGCCTCAGAAGATAGAAATGTCTTCCTCCAGGAAATAGATCTGCCCTCTGCCTGAACAGGACAGTACAGATCCTGTCTTCCTCCAAGGAAAAGGCTGGGCAGGGTTGCTAGTTAGCCCCACGATAAGATTGGGAGTTGCTAACTCGGATCCCTTGGCTGGGGCAACATGCAGCAGCATCCACCCTGGCTGCTCCACGTGACTCTGTGGGACCTAGGGACCAGGGAAACCTGTGGAAGCATGAAACTTATGCTCACTGTGCCTCAGGAATAAAGTCCTGTCTCTGACTCAGGAGGTTTTTGTGTTTTCTGCCAACATCCATGAAACTAATAGGCAAGGGGGAAGCAGGGCTGGTAGCATCTTTCCTGCTTTTGCTAATCTGA